CTGAGAGCATCCGAGCAAAGGAATGAATGGGAAATCATGATCGCCGATGTCTGTCGCAGATCAGGCACTGGATGATGATGATGTAAATCAATATTTCTAAACATCTATATCACCAGCTGAGAACAAGTTTGCCTGCAAGTTTTGCGCCGACAGTGACGTAGATGGAGGGACTACCAACAGAACTTTCTTCAACAGAGACAAAGACATCAAACGACACATCGCCACTCACCTGGAGGATCAGTTCTATGTGTGTTGTTTCTGTGACTCACAGAACAACTGTGTTACGGACTTGAGAAGACATGCAACTGGACACACAGGTAAATATTCTTCATCGCCGTTTACCTCCTTATCATCGTCATTATTCCCATAATTGGAAAAACAATTCTTTGAAAAAGGTCTGAGGAATTTTCAAATTAAGCTTCATCAATTTTCGAGCTATTTTTATCCTTATCATTTTCACAAACAGACAGCAAAATTTCGTTAGACTAGTGAGTTTAGAATTTTTCATACAGGCAAGATACATTCACGCCATGTGATACCATTACAAATGTACGTGTTTTGTTGCACAAAACTACTGTTGTTGTGTCAATGTGTTCCTCTATACTTAATCAAATCTCCCATCCCTCAGTCTCTCTCCATTTCTCTCACTCTCTCTCAATTTCTCTCTCTATCTCTCCATTTCTATCTCTCTCTTTCTCTCTCTCTCTCTCTTTCTCTCTTTCACACACACACATGCACACACACACACACACACACACACACACACACACACACACACACACACACACACACACATACACTCTCTCTCTCTCTCCCTCGCTCTCTCTCTCTCTCTCTCTCTCTCTCTGTTTACCCCCCCCCCCTCTCTCTCCACTATATCTCTGTTTCTCTCTGAGTGTGTTTTTCTCTGTCTCTCTCTGCCCCCCCTCTCTATCTCTGTCTCTCTCTGCCCCCCTTCCCTCTCTCTCTTTACCTCTCTCTCTCTCGATCTCTCTGCTCTCTCTCGATCTCTCTCTCTCTATCTCTCTCTCCCTCCCCCCCCCTCTCTCTCTCTCTCTCTCTCTCTCTCTCTCTCTCTCTCTCTCTCTCTCTCTGTCTCTCTCTCTCATCTACTTACCCAAAACTCAGACCTTGACGTACCACTGTCCGTCTTCCCATAGAATTATCAGATTCTCTAATTGTGTCGATGAGGACGTAAAACATAATAAATTGACAATGACAATTTCTCCCCTCAGATTACCGACTGTTTCACTGCCAGAGCTGTGACCAGAGTTTTATTCAGCAAGTCTCCTACGACACTCACATGAAGAACCACCATGGCTGAACACATAGATAGATAGATAGATAGATAGATAGATAGATAGATAGATAGATAGATAGATAGATAGATAGATAGATAGATAGATAGATAGATAGATAGATAGATAGATAGATAGATAGATAGATAGATAGAGAGAGCGAGAGAGAGAGAGAGAGAAAGAGAGAGAGAGAGAGAGAGAGAGAGAGAGAGAGAGAGAGAGAGAGAGAGAGAGAGAGAGAGATTTCATCATGATATGTAATTTGTACATTCTGTTCATTTTCCAGTTCCTCTTTGAGAATTGACAAAGTCATTTTTACAGTTCTTTATTCATTTCTTCATGTCTTTATTTCTTCATTTCTTTGTCTATTTCTTCATTTCCTTACTTATTTTTATATTTCTTTCTTTCTTTCTTCATTTCTTCATTCCTTCGTTGCCTCATTATTTCTCCCTAGTTTTTTGTTGTTTTTAAATTAGTAGGTTTAAAAAATAATTGTCTTTTTTTTCTCATCAAATTTGAATAAAAGGAAAAGGGAAGAATATATTTACAATAAAATCAGAGGAAAAGTAGAAGAAAAATTTAGGGGTAGAAAAGCAGCTTAAAATCAGGTCAAAATTGAATAAAAGTAAAACGACACCACGAAAGAAGCAGAATGACTGAAGACAGAAGCTGGATAAAAGTAGGATAAAAGTTCCACGTATGAGTAGGAGACAAAAAGAAGGATAAAAAATATGACAAAAGAAAGATAAAAGTCCGACAAAAAGCGTGATAAAAATTTGAAAAAATAAGGATAAAAGTCCGACATAAAAGCAAGCAGAAGCGGATCATAAAAGGATGAAGGTTCGACAAAAAGCAGGATAAAATATGAAAAACAAAGCAGAATACAAGTCTGACAAAAAAGCAAGAAGAATCAGACTTTGGCAACGGCATTGTAAAGTGCAACAGAAGCAGGACTAGGGGGATAAAAGGGGGATAAAATGTTTTTCTACTCTGTACAATATTATAACGAAGAAGTGTAGCACGTCACCCATGACATATAATGCTTCCTGGTTGTTTTATCTACAGAAAATCCCGTAAATTCTTTATGTCCGTCCTTTAATTTGCATTGCTGATTGTGATTTTATTTTTGCAATAAAAGATACAGACTAGCAAAGTGAAGATTTGTTTGTTTGTTTGTTTGTTTGTTTGTTTGTTTGTTTGTTTGTTTGTTTGTTTGTTTGTTTGTTTGTTTGTTCGTTTGTTTATTTGTTTGTTTGTTTGTTTGTTTGTTTGTTTGTGTTATTTATCTCTAACACGTACTATTGCTTTGTTTGTTAGTTTATTTGCTTTTTTATTTATTAATATTTTGCTTGCTATTTAGTGTAACTCTTTTGTCAGATGCACTTGTTTGTTTGTTTATTTGTTTGTTTGTTTGTTTAATTGTTTGCTTGTTTGTTAGTGTAAATCTTTTGTCAGACACACCTTTTGTTGGTGTATTTGTTTGATATTTGTTTGCATTCTCTATATTAGATAGACCTCTGCTTACATCGATAAAACTTTGTGAAGTTGGGAGTTGACTCAAACAGACATACCTACTGTCCCAGGCTCGATGACCGCGAGAAAAAGGTGAATAACTTCTCCAATTTTTGCTCACCTTTGTACAAAATTTGAGGGGAATTATTATTTGATCCTCCGGATGTCATATTTCATGCTCAAGTTTGAACTGGTTATGAGAGCTGCTGCAGCTCTGCTGCATCAACCATATCTTGAAGTAACCCAGAAATGTTTTTTAAAGTTAGAAAAATACGCTGACTTCGAGTTTTAAAAAAAGCTGCACGCCTGTTATTGCGGTGAATAGGAGTTTGATTCCAGATTTAGATCTAGTGCACCTTCTGAAAGAGTAATTTGATGTGTGTTCAAACAGTTGAAATTGTGAGGATGTCTGTTAGAAAGCCGCAAGATCTAATAAAGGGAGTAATCATAAATATAATAGTGCCAATATGATTAACATGTGGAAGCAGGTCGCTCGTCGGGTGCGACAACGTCAAGGAATCTGTTCGAAGACGTGACAGTGAACTAGGCTGGTAAAAGTCCACAACTTACAGAATCTTAAGGCAGGATTTGAAAATTAAACCATGTCACAAATATGTCCACCAGGGAATAATCCCAGACGATACTTTGGAGATAAGTTTTACAATGAGTACGTAAGTTTTTTGGACAAGTGAGACAGACTGAAACATTTTGTAGCGTCTGTTTGCTTCAGCGAAGAGGTTCGTTTCTTCCTTGAGAGGAAAAGTTAGCTCTGGGAATTGTATGCGCTGGGCAACAGAAAGGCGAGGTGATGTGAATGAAAGAGACTTCACAATAAAAAACAACAACTGTACAGTGTTGGCAGTTTTAAGCGCTTAAGGTGTCATGCGGTCGTTTAGTTCTGTGATAAAGACAGGAGCTATTTGAACGTTTTACATTAGGTCTGTGATAAAGACAGGGACAATTGAATGTGTTACATTAGTTCTGTGACAAAGACAAAAGTCATTTGAATGTATATCTCTATAAGTTGACCAGATGTCTATAACGTCCAGTGTTCTCCTCGACAATGGATGGTTGTCTAAGATAAGTACGATAGTACACGAGTGTTAAAAAAAAAGAAGAAAAGTGGCATGTGGCTGAGAATGGAGCACAGTGAGCGTTCACGCGGGTAGTTGGCGGGTGCTTTGGTATGGTTTGCTCCTTCTTTCCTATCCCACATCTATCGTCCTTATGTCTCCTCCTTTCTTCTTTTTATTGTTTGAAAAAAAAAACAATAGAAAAAAGGTGGTGTTAAGCACCCAAAGATCAGGGGTGTGGATGAATGACAACGCTAAGAAGGGGCCGAAGAGTAGCAGCAGAAAGGCTGCAGAAAGAGTCAAGGGCCCAGAGAAGAGGGCAAAAGGGGTGTGGGGGTGGAGGTGGGGGGCGGGGACAGAAAGTGGAGACGATATCAGACGACAGAACTTGGATAGAGAGCAGGGAAGGGGAAAAAAACCTGAGAGAAAATATTTTCCTGTCGCTGTCAGGTTTCGAGCCCGGTACCTATTGAATGAGAGGCGAACACCGTAATCTCTAGACCACGAGCACAATATCAAGTTCAAATGCCACATAGCAAAAGCAAATACAGTAGAACATGACTGCAGTGTCTATGTAAACTTAATTACCTGTGCTCGGGTTTAGCGAGGCAAGGAAAGGCCCGAACTCGGATACAGCGGGAGAGATCGAGCGAGCTTTAGCTGGAGGGTACGGGGTTGGGGGGCTGTAGGCGGGTTCCAATCAGGCAGTCAGCTGTGCGGCGTTTTGATTGGCCAGTCCAGTGATGAGTGAAGTAGGGCAGGCGGCAGACAGAAATGGTGCGGAGAGACGCGTTACGACGTGAGCCACTCCAAAAGTGATGTGCTGTAGCTTAGACGCTCAGCATGAGAGCGTATAGGCCATAGCCCTAGGCCTAGGCTAGGTCAAAAAATTAAAGAAGAGGAGAGCGAGTAGTGAGTGATTCGTGATTCATTGAATTACGATCGATGATGCTCTTAGGCAGGCATACGCACGCATCCATTTCACGTTCTACTTTAGGCCTACCGGTGCGATCGATAGCACTAGCAACGAGACCGACGTAAAGATGGCTTCCAACAACGACAAATGCGTCTGCACTCGAGTTAAAGGCCGAGATAATCAACGGAGTTGACAAGAAAAGGAAGACTTAACTAAAGCGCAAAATTATGGAAGGGAAGTCATCATGTGGATGAAATTTATTTTTTTATCGGTAATTTCCCCTTTTGCCTTCCTAGCGGGAACTGGCCTATAACTGAATTTTTCTTCTGGAACCATATGTCCCGCTACAGCCGTGTTCTACTGTATCCTCCAAACAAATTACGATGTACATAAATACATTCACACAATAAGCGTATAATATGGACGAATACATTTATCGGAGATCAGGTTTGCTATTCTTCTCATACAAGCAATAAAACTGTATGATAACAAGTAAGCAAGGTTACAACAGTGGCAGTCATTAGCAATACCATCAGGATGAATTATTAAGGGGGGGGGG